TATAATGGGAAATCATGATTACCCTATATTTTTATGTATTCTTACCATTTCTTACACTAGGGAGACTATATGGTATTTATATATGTGAGTTTGATTTTATTTCACTTATAAGTATGGTCTCAAGCTGCATCCATTTTTTTATAAATATCTCAATGTGATCATTCTTTATAGCTGAGTAGTACTCCATTGTATAAAAATACCATAACAGTTTTATCTATTCCTCAGTTGATGGATACTTAGGTTGATTCCAAGATCTGGCTATTACAAATTGTGCTGCTATAAACATGGGTGCACATATATTACTGTGGTATGATGTTTTCAGTTCTTCTGGGAATATGCCTAGAAGTGGAATAGCTGGGTCGAATGGGACCTCCAATCCCAGTTTTTTGTGAAATCTCCAGACTGACCTCCACAATGGTTGCACCAGTCTACACTCCCACCAACAGTGCAGGAGAGTTCCATTTTCCCCACAGCCTCTCCACCATTTGTTGTTAGTAGTTTTCTTGATCCTGGCCATTCTTTCAGGAGTGAGATGGAATCTCAATGTGGTTTTAATTTGCGTTCCTCTAATGAGTAATGATGATGAACATTTTTTCATGTATTTATTTGCCATTTATATTTCTTCATCTGAGAACTGTGTATTCTTCTCAGATGCCCATTTTGGGATGGGGTCTTTGAATTTCGGGGGTCTGGTTTTTAAAAAAATTCTTTATATATTTTAGACACAAGTCCTTTGAGAGACAGTTCACTAAGATTTTCTCACATTTTGTGGGTTTTCTTTTCACTGTGCTGGAGATTTCTTTTGATGTGTAGAAATTTTTTAATAAGAGGTGATCCCAGTTATTGATTCTAGGAAGCATTTCCCATGTGGTTTGATTCCTGTTCATGAATTCTCTACCTACCCCTATGTCTTCAAGCTTTTTACCTAATTTTCTTCCAACAGATTTAGTGTTTCTGTTTTAATATTCAGATCTTAGATCCATTTAGATTTTAATTTAGTATATGGTGATAGGCATGGGTCTAGTTCTAGTTTTTGGCACATGGAGAGCCAGTTTTTCCAGCACTATTTATTAAAGAGACTGTCGTTCTTCCAGTGAACATGTTTGGACCCTTTATCAAAGATAACATGATTGCGTGTATTGGTAGTTGTGGTTGTATCTTCTAACCTATTCCATTGATCTTCAGGTCTGTTTTTATTCCAGTACCATGTTGATTTTACTACAGTTGCTTTGTAGTATAATTTCAAGTCAGTGATTGTGATGCTTCCTACCTTGCTTTTGTTGCTTAGAACTGTCTTTGCTATTCTAAGTCTCTTCTGGTTCCAGATGAATTTTAGGAGTGATTTCTCTAGATCTATGAGGTATGTTGATGGTATTTTTATTGGGATTGCATTGAATCTGTATAACAGTTTTGAGAGAATGGCCATATCCACAATATTTACTCTTCCTATCCATGAGCAAGGAATGTCTTTCCATTTTCTGAGGTCCTCTTCATTTTCTTTTTTCAGGGTATTATAATTTTCCCTGTATAGATCTTTCACTTCTTTCATGAGATTAATTCCTAAGTATTTCATTTTTTTGGATACTAGTGTGAAGGGTGTGGCTTCTCTTATTTCTCTGTCAGTGATTTTGTTGTTAGTGTATAGAAATGCTATTGATTTTTGAGTATTGATTTTGTAACCAACTACATTGCTGAATTTACTTATTATATCTAGGAGTCTTTCAATGGAGTTTTGAGTGTCTTCAATGTAGAGTATCATGTCATCTGCAAATAATAATTTAACTTCCCTTTTCCTATCTTTACTCCTTTTATATCTCTCGTCTAGTTGCTCTGGCTAGTATTTCTAATACTATATTGAATAGGAGTAGTGATAAGGGACATCCTTGTCTTGTGCCTGATTTTAAGGTAAAGGACTTCAGTTATTGGCCATTTAATATGATGCTGAATGTTGGTTTGTCATAGATGGCCTTTATCATATTGAGATAAAGACCATCTATTCCAATTTTCTGTAAGTTTCATATCATCAGTAAGTGTTGGACCTTATCAAAAGCTTTTTCTGCATCTCTAGAAATGATCTTTGATTCTTACTTTTGGCTTTATTGATATGGAGATTTACATTTATTGATTTACATATGTTGAACCATCCGTGCATTCCTGGGTTGAATCTTACTTGATTGTGGTATATAATATTCTTGATGATTTGCTGTATCCTGTTTGCCAATGTTTTGTTGAGGATTTTTTCATCTGTGTTCATTAGGAAGATTGGCTTGTAGTTCTCTTTTTTAGTTGGTCTTTCTCAGGTTTTGATACTAGAGTAATATTTCTCCCAGGAATGACTTAGGAAGAATTTCTTCCCTTTCAATTTCATTGAAGAGTTTGAGGAGTGTTGGCATTAAGTCTTCTTTGTATTTCTTGTAGAATTCCACAGTGAATCTGTCTGGGCCAGGGCTCTTCTTTGATGGTAAGGAACTAATTACATTTTCAATTTTATTAATAGAAATTGGGTTATTCAGCAGTTTTACATCTTCTTGACCCAGCTTTGGTACTTCATATGTTTCTAGCAATCCGTCCATTTCTTCTGTGTTATTGAACCTATGAGAGTAGAGGTTTTTGAAACAGGTGTTGATGATCTTCTGTATTTCCACAGAGTCTATAGTGATTTCACCCTTTTCATTCCTAATACATGAATTTGTGCTTTTTTTCCCTTTTTAAAAAATGGCTGGCTAGGGGCCTATCAATTTTATTTATTCTTTCAAAGAACCAACTCTTTTGCATGGTATATCAGTCTAGGTTGTAAATCATTTTCCTTTAGGATCTGACATACTTCACTCCATGCTCTTCTTGACTTCATTGTTTGTGCTAAGAAGTCTGCTGTGATTCTGATAGGCTTTCCTTTATAGATGATCTGTCTTTTCTCTCTAACAACTTTTAATATTCTATTCTTATGTTGGATTTCTGGGATGGTGATTATTATATATCTAGGTGTGGTTATGGCTATTTGAAGTTCTATAAGCTTCACTGATCCTAATGTCAGTTTCCATTCTCATGTTTGGGAAATTTTCAGCTATTATTTCTCTAAATATTCTCTTGCTATCATTTGTGTTGTCTCCTTCTTTTTCATTTATCCCTATCAATCTTATGTTGTTTTTCTTTGCATCATTTTGCAGCTGTTGAATTGTTATTTCCTGATTCTTTGTTATTTTTAAAAGATCTTTCCCTTCCTGTTCACTAGCTGCAATCTTGTCTTCGAAGTCATAAATTCTATCTTCATTTTTGTTGAGGTGGTTTTGACAACTTTCAATGGAATTTTTGATTTCCTCTATATCTCTTTGAATCTGCTCCATGTATTGTGTTTGTTTCTTATATTGTTCATCCAGGGATTCTATCTTTTTGCTTTGTTCCTCTAATTTTTTAACACTTCTTTAGATGTGTTCAGCATCTCCTTCATTACTCTTATCATTTCTTCTTTTACCTGGGAGATTATTTCTAGTTTGAATTCCTTTAAAGCTTCCTTTAAAGCCTAAAGAGTTGCTTCTTTATTTCAGTTATTATTATTTCATTTCATTTATTATTTCATTTCATTTATTACTACTATTTCAGGTATTTCAGTGTATAGCATATATTTTCTTCTGTGTACATAGCTCCTAAGCCTTCTTGGGATGGGCTGGAGGTTTCAGACTGCATTTTGGTCTTTGTTTTGTCATTTTCCTGTTTTTCCCTGTTTCAGTTGTTGTTCCAAGGCTTCCCCTGGGACTGCTGGAAATCGTCCTCTATGCTCTTAGTTCCTGGGACTCTGGCTGCTCACTTCCCCAGATTGAGAGAGGGTCATTGGGGGTGGCCCAGGAAGGTTGAAAACCTATGGAGCTGGAGCCGGTCCAGCGTGGCAGGAAGCTGGGAGGTTCCTTGACCACTGAGAGCAATGATCTTAAACTCCTGGGGCTCGGGATAGTGCGCAGATCCTCACCTCTGGCCACCCGGCTCCCCAGATTGATATAGGGTCACTGGGGGTGGCCCAGACAAGTCCAAGACCTGCAGAGCCAGTTCAGTGTGGTGGGAAACTGGGAGTTCCTTGACCACTGGGAGCCATGATCTTAAATTCCAAGGGTTTGGGATGGTGTGCAGACACTCACCGCCGGCTGCCCAATTTCTCGGATTCTAAATTTTAAATCTTGTTTTTCTTGAAATTGGCTGTCATTTACGTCAAAAGAAAATTCTGGTTCTTGAGAAGTTACTTGATTTTATTTTTCTACAAACATTTCATTTCCATATGCTCATAAGTATTTCAGAAATGTTTTACTCAAGGTTGTCTTATTCTTTTGGCATTCTTTGTTCCCATGTTTGTACAATGTTATAAATGATATAAAGGGAGATTCATAAAATGAGCAGTGGTTCTCAAATAGACTGTAGTCTTCTTCCCAAGTTAGAATGATTGCTACATTGAAAAGTCTTTCCATGTATGTCAGCATCTTCAACTAGTTTTGTTATGATAATCATTGTCAAATGTGGATAAATTCAATGGATCTGATCTAAAGCTTGGTGCTAGGGAAAAAGAAGATAACTACAAAGTAATATGATTTCTAAGATATACAGAGGAAAATGTCAATTTCAGTATTTTGTATTTCCTTATTTTTCACTTTTATTTTTGTCTTTAGAGTAAGGGTCTCGCTGTGCTGCCTAGGTAGGCATTGAACTCAAAGTCCTCCTTCCTTAACTTCCCTAGGATCTGGGATTACAGGCATGTGCCACTCTATCAGATATTATTTATTTATAAAGCACTCTTTCTGTGAGTTTAGTAATAAAAAATACAAAAAGAAGGCCAATTATTTAGCTCAGTTGTTTAAGCACTTGTCTGGTCAGTGTGAGGTCATGCGTTCAATCCCTGGTACCAGAAAAATCCCCCCCAAAACAAAAAAGAAATGAGAATGCACCTTTTGTATACACTAACTACAGCTTATCTTTGTTTATGTTTTCCTTTTCCCTTTCCAAAAATCTTCTGTCAGGAAAATGGTTGCATTATCAATGGACTTTGCTACACTGAAGGGGATAAAAACCTTACCAGTCCTTGTTTGATTTGTAGACCCGAAATCTCTCAATTTACTTGGTCATATTTAGAAAGTAAGTTTTTTTTTACTAACTCAACTATTTACTCTGCAGTATATTTTGAAAGTGAGTTTTTAAGCCAGGAGTTATATAAAATTGTTTAAAACAGATGAATTCTGTGTTAATTTAGCATCTCTTTTAAACTATACATTTTAAGGAAATGTAAAGTGAATGTTCTTGTATAGATAGTCATGCTTAGCACAATGATACACTGCTCAACAACAAGCTGCATATAGAATGAGGGGTTCATAAGATTATATCACCTAGCAAAGACAGCTGTTTTAAAGTACACACTAGGATGGCAGGATTGCCAAATGATACATTTCTCAGAACTTTATCAGTAAGTCCTTAATTTTATATGATTTTATAATCATACTATATGAGGCTATGAAATATTTATTCTAATGTTTGGTAAAGAAAGCAAATGTGAATTGTTAATGGAAGAAGTGAGATTTGTTAATTCAGTTATATACAATTGCCTACTCTTAGTCTTACATCTGTAGAGTTTTATGACAGGGCATTTGATCATTTATGTTCCAAAGAAAAAGGATTCATCATTTGTGAAACAAAGTGTTTGGATTCAATCTGTACATTGCCTTCCAACACCACCATTCTGTGAAACAATGAGTATAATACCCAGGTACAGATATTTTTGAGTTTCTTCTCTTATTTGAGACAGAGTTTCACTACTAAGTGCAGGTTGGCCTTGAACTTATTTTGTAGCCCAACCTGGACTTGACCTCACAATGATCCTTCTGCTTCAGCCTCCTGAGTGCTGTGATTAAAGGCATAAGACACCATGGCCAGGCTAATTTTGAGATTCTTTTTTTGACACAACAATATCCTAAAATGTGGTTGCATACCATATAACTTTCCTAAACACAGGTGTGTATGATTCCAGCTGAATGTCTAAGTTCTCTTTCCTCATGTGATCAAGTATTATTAGATACAATGCAGTATATATTCATGGCCCCATGTAATTTTGTCTAAGACAGTAATGAAACCTACATGTACATTGTACTTTCTGATACTATTATACACGACATTGTGCATTGTGCATATTTCATTACTGTATGAGAACATTTGCCAGATGATTCACTGCTGGAGCACAAGATGTATGGAATACATTTGGAAGACAATGGAAAATTTAAGGAGAAATTTATTGCAAGAGAAGGAAAATACAATTGGTATCTGTTCTTCAGTCTTATAAGATGATTGCTTCCTTAGAGATTGTGCTCAGAGATATAAGGGGTCTTATATTATTATGTTCTTAACTCTTCATATTGAAGATGAAGATTGATAAATTAAGCTGCTGTGCTGGATATGCAGGGAATGAATGGAAAACAGAGCTACAGTCTCTTGATTCAGTGCTTCCTGGCTTCAAGCAAAGTGCTTGTGGCAGTATCACTCTTCATTTGGCCAGTGGGAAAGAAAGGCAGATCTTTTAAAATATAAGACAAAATAAAAAATATTTTGAATTGTTTCATGAGCACAAAGAGAACTCTTACTCCTGCCACAGCTCCTTTATTCATGTAGGAGCTTATACCTCGTGCTTCCACACAGAAGCGACGTGTAAGGCAGTTGTGTTCCACTGGCATGATTGCCAAGCAACTCAGGTCATCAAAGCATTGCCTGATGGTGGCCAGTTACACAATGTGGAGGTGGATACTGAAAAGAGAGGTCAGGGGAGTCAAATGAGAGTCCATCACAAAGAGAGAGTTATAAATTGAGAAAGAGATGTGAAGAAGGAAAAGAAGGAGGAGGAGGAGGAAAAAGAGGAGGAAGAAGGTAAGGATGGAAAAATCCTAGAGTGAGAAGGACACATAGGACACATGCTTGCACAAGCAATGAGATGGTCAGCACTAAGACGTAATTTAGAAGAGGAGATGCATCCAGGCAGGGTGGTTCAAGTGTGTTTCTCTATTTCATGCTGTTTTCACACTTTCATAACAAAGCTTGTGGTCTACAATTGTTAGTTACTTTAAATCTCTTGGAATGGAATCAAGTTTATTGAGAATGTTAAATAAAATGAAAGCAAGGAACAGAGTCACTGTCAGAGTTTAACTTTTATCGAATTGCCTGTCTGTCTCTGAGAACTCTCAGAATCAATCTCGCTTCTTCCCTTTTCTACACATATGCAAGGGTAAATGATTTCTCTGCTGCAGATAACCAATCCCCTGTAATGCAAGCATCACAAGAAAAATTACAGGCATTTTATGGAGAAAACTTTGAGTACCAGTTCATGGCCTTGGACCCAGAAAACTCTGAAGTTCAGTTTACATTGGAATTGGGTCCAGAAGGAGCACATATCTCTCCTGCAGGACTACTTACGTGGAAAGCAGAGTCCCAGGCTGCACAACGATTCACTCTCCACCTCAGTGATGACTGTGATGCTGAAACTCGAGTCACTGTTGAGGTCAGAATTCTAATGTTGTATATAAATGTCACTAGATCCCTTAACAGCAGCATCAACTATATTTTAATTCTTAAACAGAAAGCATATTCTTAATTGCAGAGAGCAAAGCAATGAAGTTACTAAATACTGAACATTTTTGATGGTTCTTTGTAAAAACTGAAAAATTTCCAATCTAGCATGGAACTAAGGTAACAATCTACAGTTTTATTCTGCACTTAATAGTGATGAGGATAAAGAATTCACTCACTTCCCCTTCCATGCATGACCTGTATGAATGTAAGACTGATTGTTACAGACTTTGCCTTCCAACTAGAAGCACCTCAGATGTTGAGTTAGAATCAAAATTATAGATATAAGACTTGAAATAATATACTGATGACTACAGTTTCTTGACCTTTTTATTACGCCAATTGTAAACTCTAAATAGTGATAAACATTTTCATAGCTGTATTCACTGGAAATGTGGGGCGTGCTTCCACACAGAAGCAACTGTGGAAAGCAGGTGGGTTCTACTGGCAAGATAGCCAAGCAATTCATCATTTGCTCTCCGAATTTGGGGATAACTTGGATGACTGCTTCCCTCTGGAATGTTTCCCCTCAAGTATTCTACTAGCATTATCAAACTTGATCATCTTGGACTGTTACTTGAAAAAACTATCCAAGTGTGCCTACTTTGGCTATGCCCTTGAAAGTGGTCATGATTTTCTTATTAAATTATTTTAACTACCATTGTATATAAAATACATCTCTCAAAGATATGTGATGTAGTGACATTTGTTCTTAAGTAATACATGCCCATTGTAATTTCTAGGGTACGTACTGATGATAATTTTAGTTTGAAGTATGACATTTACTCTTTTTCTTTTATAGGTAACTGTGAAGTCTTGTGATTGCCTGAATGGTGGATCATGCGTGCCTGACAGAAAATTCCCTGTGGGGAGTGGAGCTTACCTGTGTATCTGCTTGCCTGGATTCCACGGAGGTCTTTGTGAAGTAGCTGTTGATGCATGCCAACCAAACCCTTGTGGCCTTGGCAGATGTACGAGAGTTTTGGGCAGCTATTCCTGTGACTGTCCACCTGAGCTCAAAGGTAAGTTCTGGATTCTCATGAACTAAATTGAAATATGGTTAAGTTAAAGAGGGAAGCTCCCTGGAAAATTTGTATATAGATCACTCAAGTAAATCCCCTTGTCATCGTTAAGTGAAGAAGAAAACTGTAGATTATTAGTTTCATGCTTTTGGATTGGGAATTTCTCTATTTTTATGAAGAACCATCAAATATTCAACATTTAGTAACTTCATTTAGTAATTGCAATTAAGGATATGTTTTTTAAGAATTAAAATACAGTTGGTGCTATTGTTAAAGAATTGAATGGCCCTAAAGATTTTAATACAAATTTGAAATATTCTAATAACTACAGTAGCTTGTGCTCTTGAAATTTTGCAGTTTTAAATTTTTTGTAAATAGCTTATATGTGCTTTTTCAATTTTTGCCAGATTTATATCTATAATAGCAAACAATAAACATGAATTGCAGGTTTATAAACACTTGCACCTATATTTAATGGGTAAAAGATATTGAAATATGTTATTTCATTATAATACAGAAAAATAAAGAAATTATGCCAGCAGAAATATGGGAGATTTTATTGATAATTCACTAAGTTAGAAATATTATGGTGTAAACTGGAGTTGAAGAGCTGCAGTTGTAGCCCCATGATAAAGCAATGGCCTAGCAAACTCAAGGCCCCAGGCTCAGTTCCTTTGCCACAAACACATACGTAGCACACACATTCACATGACACACATGAGCATAATACACACACAGCACACATACATAGATTAGAATTGAAATCAAATGAAGTGCTATTATTTGCACTACCTCCTTAATTATAATGTCTCTTCCAGAAACATGCATATGACTCCAGTTTTGACAACCTTTAATTTCCCATGATTTTTAAAAATCTCTTATGAATATTATTGTTATATAGATGTAAATACTAAATATCCACCTGTCAAATTGATAGTTTTCTTGAAGACATCTATGTTGACATTGTAATGGAATAAAGCAGAGCATTTCATTTTCTTCATCAGATTTAAGTGAATATTTTAGCATTTGGACAAATGAATGTTGGAAGATGACTCTTCTGCTTTATTGCAGACAACATTTGAATGAATTTAAATGTTGGTTGCTGCATGGATTTTTAAATAATAAAGGCTGCTATGCACAAATGATATGAATTTATTCATTCGAATAAGTTCTTAAGCATTTCAAAGACTACCACTTCATCTTAAAATATTTTTTAAAAAAGATTGGCTTTCCCAACACATTGTTTTCACAGATAATACAACCACTGAACAGAACAAGTTGACCTTCTGCTAGGCAGATAACCGTTCTAAAACATTTTTTTTTCAAAAAAAAAATCACTGTGTTTTTATATAAAATATCTTTCTTCTGTGATAGGGTATTATTTTGTCTTAAATATTAGACTTCTAAATTATCTTACTTACAGGACATATCTTACATACTTTAAAGGTCAGATTAAATATTAACTGGAATGTACTTAATGGCTATATTTGATGATATAGCACATATTTAAAATAGAACATTCTTTTCCATATAATTCGTAACAGCTCTGTGTGGGTTAAGAGTTAAAAAAAGCTGATTAGGCATATACCATATTTTGAGTTAAATACTTTGAAGACTTGATCTATATTTCATTTAGGTACAAACTGCCAAGAAGATGTTGATGAGTGTGAGTCTGAGCCCTGCTTCCCAGGAGTAGGTTGCCTCAATACCTTTGGGTCCTATCTCTGTGGTCCTTGCCCTGAAGGACTGTATGGTGATGGGAAAATATGTCAAGGTACAAGTTCCTGTTTTTTGCTGCATTTAAGTATTCCAGTCACTCAGTCCTTTTTCCGTTTGTGTTCATACATCATTCTGTGTGTGCATTCAGTGCTGTGTACTGAAGTAAATACAGAGGATGCAGAAATGTATCAGACATGTCCTCCAGCTTCGTAGATGAGAATGTAATTAGATGGAGCATGATTAACAATCTCACAATACAATAAAATATTTGTATCTTGGTAAAGAAATACCTGGAGGGAGTAATATGAATACAACACAAGGCATGGTGTCTACTGAAGGAATAATAAAAACCTTAAAATAAGATGCTTACACTGCAGGAAATGTATCTGGTGTTAGCAGATCAAAGCAGAGAAAAGCAGTCTAGGTAGAAGGAATGGCATAAGCAAAGGAAGAGAGCTATGCAACATCACAAGACACCTTGGGAGCTATCGTGGACCCACCAGGCCCGCAGCCTCCTAAATGAGTTGACAGTGAATGACTTAAGTAAAAGAGAAACATGGTATGAAACATGATATCTCAGAAGTACAAGAATAAATGAAAATATTCTGCTCTAAAGTGAGATAAAAATAAAAGATATTAAAGAAGGAAATAGATGACACTTAGTGACTGGGATTAGTTAGCATGATAAGGGAAAGAAAATTGTTAAGTGTCATATGTCTGACAGGGTGTGTAGAATTGGCATTCTCATTGCTATGGACTGAACTGTATCTCCTAAATTTCAGAACTTGAAGCCTATGTGACTGTGTATGGGGTATGGAAACAATTAAAATTAGAAGAGATGAAAGGGGGTCCTGATACACCAGGGTTGGTATCTTTCAAGGAAACACATCAGAGAGTTCCAATGTCATGTGCAAATGTACTGAGAAAATGATCAATAAGTGAAAAAGCTGTTCACTAACCATAGGTCAGTGCCTTGACTCTGAATTTCAAGCCTCCAGAACATCAAGGAAGTAAATTTATATTCATTCACTCACTCTGTCATAGCACATGTAACACATGGGAAGAAATGGTTTTGGAGAAGAATGATAATGAATCAGTTCTCATAGGAAAGGACTATGGTATATCCACATGAATCTCAAGAGGGAGGACATAAGCACACAATTCTGACCATCATAATATGGAGTAAAATTATACAGGGAGAGCACAAATGTAGAGGAAAAAGGATAAAAATAATCACAGATATCTACACTTCAAAGGATTAAAAGAAAAAGGCAGATATCAAAAAACTGTATCTGGCATAGTTGAATGATAAAGAATGTATTAATGTTTTGATAAAGAATGTATTAATGGCATAATGCCACCTTGTGGCTTGAGATGGGGTGGGCCTGTCTAGAAATGGAGGCCACAAGCATGAGGAGCACAGTGTGGGAATACAAGAAGATTCCCTACTCCGTCAGCTGTCCATACTTTCTCTTCAGCATCCAGTTCCTAAGATTTACAGCTTCCGGTCATTGACAATCCATCCGTCCGTCTTTTCCAAAGAGTCCTTTTCCTCAGTAGAAACTTTATTCAGTGAACTTCTAAAAGGAGAGAAAACTGAACCAAATCCCATTACATGTGAATAACTAAGAGGTTTCCTAACATTGTCAGAGTACTTTGTGTTTGTTAGGAAATTGTTTGTTACTACAGTAGAAATTTTGGTTGCCGGTGGTTACTTAGGTTTATAGTAGGCACTAAGTTGAAGAACATAAACATAAATACTAAAGCATAATTCTTATTATTGAAGTTACTGCTAACTACCTAGGGAAAGGGACCCATAAAATTCACTAGCATGAAAGGCAAGGTGCTGTGGAGGAATTCAGATGGATGAAATAAACTGAATGTTTTTGACACTGAAGAAAGGTTCGAGAGTTGGCATGTGCTACCATATGGAATTCCACAGCCGGAGGGACTCAAACAACAGAAATTTATTTTCTCAGAGTTCTGGAAGCTGGAAGTTGAAGGTCAAGGTGCTAGTTTGGTTGGCATTTGTGAGATCTTCCTCCTGGCTTGCAGTTGGCTGTCTCCACACTGGACCTTTCCACTGTGGATGTTCATCTGGTGTCACTTCCATCCCTGAGGTCAATGTTCTCCTGGATCAGGGCCCTGCTCTTCTGATTTCATGTAACCTTAATTAACCTCTTAAAGGCCTGTCTCTAAATAGAGCAGCATTTAGGGTTGGGCTTCAGTGTGCCAATTTCATACATAGTGGAGGGTTTCCTAAAGAGATGATATCTAAAGTGATTTTCAAATTTAAATTGCAGAGTTCAACCTTAATGACATATATACTGTGTGTTCTTATTCACAATGCTTTGGTTTTATAAGTTTAACTCTGATTTTTTTTTCATGCACTGATCTACAGTTGAAACACAAATTTTAAATGAATTTACTACCCAAGCTGTGGTTATCAGAGGATCCGACAAAAATGTAATTAAGGAAGAGGGTACCAAACAAGGAGAGAATCATGTTAAGCCAACAAACAGAAATGTGTCTAGTAAGTAATGCTTTTAGCTCAACTCTAGTGAAAATACCTTCAATTTGTTTTCCAAAAAATCAACATAATTTATTCCTCAGATGTTTTTACTTTTAGAAAAATTGTCTGAAACTTATATGTTGCAGTTTAAAATATATCCTTTTTCTTGTTAATCAGTTGAATCCTTTGACCTATATTCTAGAACATTCATTTATGTCACATGATGAATAAATGATACATCGTTTAAGGCAGTTTGACAGAAGCTCATTAATTGTTGTTCTTTAACTTTTATACTAGGTAACATTCTGTGTTCTCTTGTCTATCCAGGTAGATTATAATATCTTTGAAGGCAGGAACAGTTTAATAACTTCTTATTTATGGCTTGTAGCATAGTTCATAATGTACCTATAGCTGTAGACAGTGTAGTATAATTGTAGAAATTAAGTTGAGGATGGAATTAGTTAATGGCAAATATTTGGGGAGAGCAAAATAAAGTCATTGGCTAATCTTTCTATTTCTTTCTGCTTGTTTAGGTTTGAATTCTCAGTCACCATCAACAGAACATTCACTGATTAGTGGAAACTTTGCTCATGGTCCTGTCAGTAACAAAAAGTTTTTGAACACAATGAACGTCTCATATTTGCCACTAAAATCAGTTACCACTCAAATGGTTAATTCAAAGATGGTTGTTTCTCATCAAATAACAGATTATGAATATGTGGATCGTGTTCTCAGAGCAAATACCAGTCTAAACAATTCAGAAATTCCTGTTACCAGCAGTAATTCATTAAGCATGACTCCACATGGTTACAGTGGTGAACTAAAAGATGTTACTCATAACACCATCTATACAAAGACAAGAGACTACAATTCTCAAATTAACAGTTTTTCCCAAGGTTACACACAACCTAAGGATGACATGTTTGTGACATCAGATGCTGAAACAATCACTGTTTCACCAGGAAAGTTTGGGTTAATCACATCAACTTGTGCTGACTCACCTTGCTTTCCGGGTGTTTCCTGCATGCCAACCACAGACGGTCACTTCCTATGTGGACGCTGCCCCTCAGGGTATTATGGAGATGGTATCAGTTGCAGAGGTACTGTGAACATCCTGCACAGCTATGCAGTTCAAACTCAAGTTACTAAGAAGATACATTTTTTTCACTTGCTAATACCTATTGATTTAATTTAGCTCACCATATTCTGAAAAAAAAAAGTGAGCTATCTGAGTTACTTTTTAAAATGGAATATTATATATTATTAAAATTATATCATACTTTCTATATAGTACCTAAGGTATCTACCTTGTTCCATCTTGTTCTATCTTGTAGAAACTTTCAGCATGAGTTATGTCACATAATCTACAACTCTGCTAAGTGTTCTTTTCTCTTTGTATAGAAAGCAAGGCTTTGAGAGCCTGTCCTGAAATAGATAAAGAGATTTTTTAAAAGGATATGAATATAGATCTGATCAATATTTTGCCTGGTTCTTTTTAGGTCACAATGGTATTTTAATACTTTAAATTACTAATTTTTGAATATTTGTTTGGTTTTGTTAAGTAAGTTTCTCTGTCATTCCTTCCATTTGAGATTTACAGCTTTTGATTATTTTAATTTTACAAATACTGGTTACATAGGCATTACTTTACCTGATACAAATCAAGGTTGGCTTTGACAACATATAAGCTCTTTATTTTTGTTGTTGTTGTTGTTGATATTGGTTTGTTACTGTGTTTTGTTTTGTGTTTTTGTTTGAGATCAAAATTAGGCAAGAAATTTGTTGATGTATTCCTATGTTCCTGCTGTTATCTAAAGAAAGTGTTTTTTGGTAGGAATATGAATAATAATTCCCATCATCTATATGTTTATAATGCAAAATTTCTTATTTTCAAAAATTTTTTAAATTTCATGCATTTCAATACCCAATGTTATAATGTTACACCCAGTAGACTAGATCAGGTAGCCTAAAGAACATAAACCTATTAGTTTATGAAGTCCTTCTGGCTATTTGCTCTTTGAAACTTTGAATGTCCGTGTCATTCATCAATATTTAGCTGATTATATATGATGCTTCATTTCCCTGTGTTTTGGGGCAATTTTATGTTTTTCCATGTGTAGTTAGCTGCTGCCTTCAATGCTAGATACTATTATGAGAGTAATTATCCTACTTTCTAGTCTAGTAATCATTTTTCTCAGCCATTCGAATAGTAAAGTGAATATAAAGGAAAAAATTATGGTTAAATACAGTGGCTATTTAACAGTGTATTAAAAAGCTCAAATATCAGGAAGATTTAATTGTATTATAACTAAATTTGAGAAACCTGCGATTTGGTATAATCTAGCAATTTTTCCTTGATTTTTGCAGCCATTTGTAAACGTCCATGTGGCAAAAATAGGGCGTGTGTTGCACCAAACACATGCAAATGCAAGCCAGGTTACACTGGTTCTAACTGCCAAACTGGTAGGTACATCATTCATTAGTCTGTGTAACGAATTTTACTTGATATTTGATATTTCTAAGCTATGGGGTTTGTTTTTTACAGCTATCTGTGAGCCAGCTTGCAGAAACCTTGGAAAATGTGTTAAGCCTAACGTTTGTGAATGTCTTCCAGGACATGGTGGAACAACCTGTGATAAAGGTGAAAATTCAAATTTAAAGTCATCTAATAGGCCTAAAATAAGACATTTTCTTTTTAAAATATTTTTTAAGAATCATTAAATTTTATTGTATATATTTTAATATGTATTCATTAATGTTGGGGCAAGAGTTTATGTTTTTTAATATTCACTAACATGTTTTAGAATTTTAAAAACTTGAATTTCAGAAATCAGAGCTCCAAAGAACAGTGGTTTAATCTTTGGTAAAATCATTGTCCAAAATAATTTTTCTAATTTAATTATAAGTTATCATATCCCTACAAATATTTTGTTGTCAAGAAAAAAATATTCTTAATTAGTAAATGACTTGTCAAAATCTATTCCAGGAAAGCACTAAGTGTAAAGTAATTAGAATCTATAAGGTAATAAGAAGAAGCCTAAATAGTGATTGTTGAAATACATTTATACATATACAAATAACATTGCTTTGATTGAAACATTACGTGAAAATTTTATCAAAGTTTTTGTAATTTTAAAGAGGTTTTGAAGGAATACATTTTTGTAAATTCTTCCTATAATTATGAATAAAATGACAGTTTTTAAAATTCGTCAATCAAAGTCAGCTACTAGTTAACAATTTAGGGCAAATTAACAAAAATATTTACCCTTAGTAACATATAAAAGTAACTATGGAAGCGTAGAAAAATTCTGTTAACAAACAGGGATCCATAAGCCCAAGAGTCACTTTTTAAAAGACAATAACAGTTACATGTTTCCATTCAATTACTAACAGTTCTTATAAGTCTTTTACACACCTATGTGATTCTTGTTTTCTAGGTTTCTTTTTTAAATCAAAACGCACTGATCACTTGTGTTTCAGAAATATGAATCCATATAGCTAATCTCATAGAACTAAATTGCATAATAGTGGAAGATGAAATTCTTTTAAATTGTTTCTACAAGCTTGTTGTGCCTGTGCTTCATAAATATAAACTGATTTTGAATTAGGATGTGGCTAATGATGTAGTCTGTCTCTGCAGAACTTTGCAGCCCGCCTTGTCAACATGGTGGCACGTGCTTGCCCGGCAACCTCTGCACTTGTGCTTACGGCTTTGTAGGACCAAGGTGTGAGACAAGTAAGCAAAACTTTCTTTTTCCCTTGATGAACTGATGGCTTTATTGCTAAATGAAATGAAATCAAACTTTAAGTTATCATGGCGATTACCAACCTAAATGGCAGTGAGAGCAACCTGGAGTGACCAATACTAAGACAAAGAATTTCACTCTCAGAATAATTCTCTTCGTGACCTGTGCGTAACCTCTTCTTTGAGATAACAGGAACTTGTGTTTGTTCATTTGCATATAAATGTAGCTAATTTTATATATGATTACTTTCAGCAGTAACATGATTTCCCCAGTGATCCAAAGATGGTTTCTTGCTTCCCATTCTGCTGAATGATTTTCTACTTTCCTTATCTCTATGAACAAGACTATAATTGAATATAAAAACTGGAGACTATTGGAGACTATATAGTACGTTTTGATTTTTTTCCCTGATCTTAACTCACTGGCAAATGTGATTGGCTTTTAGGAACTAACTAGGTAATAGCCAATAATATGACCATTTCACATCTGATTTAACGTAATTTTATTTTTATTCTGTGATCTTAGTGGTTTGTAATAGACACTGTGAAAATGGAGGTGAATGTTTTGCACCAGATGTTTGCCAGTGCAAGCCTGGTTGGGATGGACCCACCTGTAATACAGGTAAAACAAAAAATGTTTTCAATGATATTGTCAAAGTAAAGAATTTAAACTGTGCCAATATTCAAAAGATGTACCTTTAAAACAGAAAACTGATCTGATATGTCAAATATGAAGTTGTCATTTCAAATATTATATCTTCATTTTTTTAATCTTCCCGTATTGGGCCAAGAGAATCTTACAGAACCTTTACGGCTATCCTATTCAGCCAATATTTCTTTAGCATTTGTAATTCCCTCATCTGCTTAATTTTGGGTAGACACAGATTATGTTGCATTATCCAGGTTTCTTTCTTTTTTTTTTTTATTTAAAGAAAAGGAAACGAAAAAAAATACATGGAGATTTAAAAAAAAGGGTAGAAATAATACTAAATTACAGACAAACAAAAGGTAAGAAATTGCCAGTTGATAAGTTACAAATTGTCATCTTCGAAATGGCTGTTCAGGTTATAGAATTAAAGTATTTAGAATGACATTCAAAAAAGTGACCCTACAAACCATTCTGCTCTATGGCCGAACAAAAGCTCCGTAATATGATTATCAGTCCCACCTATTTGTTTTACATCTCTAAGAGGATAAGGTTAACCATATCAAAACAGAACAGAACATTAAAAAAAAATAAAAAAATAAAAAACAATTTAAAGAAATACAGATTTCAAAGCAAGTCCACTGGAGATCTACCTTATCTAACTGTCTCTAGCTTCTTACAAATAGTTGTCCCTAACTTCACCCACTTTCTATACTTATTGCATATTATAGAACTAATCAAATCATTACAGGATGATGGAGTCTTTTTAGGTCCTCAAGTTCCAAATTAGGGAAGACAATACCAACTACCATCGCATCTCTCATTCTCTTTGTGATAGCCGTCCCCATCTCTGCATATGCTGAAGTTGAGCTGAAGAAACCAGTCCAGAGTCATTTTAATCAGCAAGCAATAGATTGCTAGAATTTATATTATAATGCTACAAAATAAGCCTCGGGTTTTTCAGGTCTCTTCCTCAGAGTATTTGTTCCTATCCTCTCTGTATTATAGGGAAAACCAAGTCATAACAAGACAGCGAAACAATTTCCTAGATAAACATGCAATGGATAAGACTTATAAAACTATAATATAAATGATCTTCCGTAGCTACTATGTTTTCTCTTGTTATTTTCAATAGATTTGTCGACAACACTGGCTTATTATAGTTAAACATACTATCACCTATTTTTATAAAAACTTATCTTTGACTGCATTGTAGTATTTGAGAGCTGTTACTGATTCATACCAGTATGGATATCCTTTACATCTTGTCATGCTCAGAGTAGTTTCCTCTACCTTTAGGGTTGATTCTAACACGCATACCGATTTCAAATAGGATCAGTCAAGGCCAACCAATAGTCTTATGATTCAGATACAATTAAGATCAGTCATAGTAAGACAATGTAAGTAATACAGGATTTCAGCCTAAATCAATAGGAAAGTAAGGATAGTTACCATGGTATAACCTGCTGTTTTTGGTTCCAGAGGTCTGTGTCCTCAAACCTGATATGAGTGGACAGACCAGAACAAATTTAATTCAATCTAAATATGGCACTAGGACTACTGTGTCTTTTAAATCGTTATACACCATTAGCAATGACCTCTGCCTTTTTTTTTTAAATATAGTTTCAGAGCTGTCTCTACTAAAGACTAGCTTACCGTCTCTGCCTCATGTCTGCTACTCCACTTTTCTGCTATAATTTGTCCATCTTATTCCCTCATTCCATGGTCTGCCCCGTTCACTGAGGCCTCTCTGCCACTGTAGCTATAATCCTGATATCTCTTCCTCTCTTTCTCTGTAATGTCCTTCAGCGCTCTCTGTAGGGTTGGATTGGTGGCCACGAACTCCCACAGTTCCTCCTTGTCTTGAAAGTATCTTATTTCTTCATTAATTTTTAGAGAGAGTTTTGATGGATATATGAACTTAGGTTGCATATTTTTTTCCTTCAGGACTTGGAATATTTCTCCCCACTCCCTTCTTGACTTAAGAGTTTGTGTTGATAAGTCTGCTGTTATTTTGATTTCCCATTATAGGTAACCTGCATCTTTTCTCTGGCTGCTTTTAATATTCTGTTTTTTTGGTGGATTTCTGGGATCTCGATTATTATATGCCTAGGCGTAGATCTGTTTTGGTTGTAGGTAGCTGGCGTTCTGTATGCTTCTTTTATCTGGATATCATTTCTTTTTGCTATACGTGGGAAATTTTGCTTTAATATCTCTGTGAATATTTTTTGTATTTCATTTTTGGATGTTCCTGCTTCCTCACTCACATTCTTTATTCTTAGGTTATGTATCTTTTTATCATCTTCCAGTTTTAGAATTGCTTCTTTCTGGTTCCTTGTTATTTTTAAGAGGCTTTTTCTTTCACGTTCATAAGCCCTAAATCTCTCTTCAAGTTTCAGAAGGTTGTCTTTAGTTTCTGTCAAGGCATTTTGCCAATATTCAATGGAGTTTTTAGTTTCCTGATATTCTCTTTGGATCTGTTTCATGTATTCTAAGTTATGCTTAAATTCTTCTTCAGATGCTTCTCTTTCTTTTCTGATTTCCTCAGTTCTTCCATCTGTGTTCTCTTGGGCGGGGCTTGTCATTTCTTTAATTAATCTCTTTATATCTTGCCTCACTTGGATCAGGAGTACATCTTTAAATTCCTCTATGAGATCATGTAAGTACTTTTTAATTTCGGCTGATGCTGTGTCGAGTAGAGGGTGGTTACTGTGTTTGTTCTCTTCAGTGTTTAGTTCTCTTGGGTTTAATTTCTCCTGTTGAACAGCTGGAGATTTTTTTTTTATTTTTATCGCTTGTCATGTTTCTGGTTTCTTTCAGACTGTCCTGGAGTTCTCTGGCCCTCTCCGAATTGCTTAGGGCCTTTCAGAAGCGTGCTGGCTTGAGTTTTTGCTGTCCTCCCCAATTTGCTGTTATCTGGGTTAGGCTGGGATGTAGGGGCGGTACAGTCTAGTCTCTAGCCTCTGTGTCAGTTAGTTCATAAATTAGGCTGTACTTTCTGGTTGTCACTGAGTTGTGACTATTTTGTATCTGCTTATTGGGCCCCAAGCAGAGGCTTGGTTTAGCCCCAGTAGCTCCTGCCAGTTCTCCCTGAATCAGAAGCAGCTGAGTAATGGCACAGGATTCTGCCCAGGTCCCAGCCGTTCTCTTCCAAACCTCTCTGTGATAGGAGCACCAGAAAAGCAGATCTGCCCAAAACCAAGATGGCTCCCACTAAGTTCTCTGTGTGGAGCTGAAGCCAGCAAGTAATCAGGCTCTGCCAGGACTCAAGATGTCTTCCACCAGCCCTCCCTACAGGGGGACCTGGTGATGTCACCAAGCTGCGGTTTCTGCCGCCAGGCTAATATGTCTGCACCAGACTCTGTGTTATTGATTTCCCCGTGGTGGCGGGCCAGCTGTTCTCTGGCCAAACCCAGCAGCCGCGGGGTTTTCTGTACTCACCAGAGTCCGGTGCAAGTCCTCGTTCCAGGACCGCCGCACATCAAGCTGTCCACTTTTCCCCCACTCGCGGCTCAGCGCTGACCAGTCAGATTTCTGTGCACCGTTTAGATTTGAAACGCCAGAGCTTTGTACATCCGCTCTGGTGCAGCAGTGCAGAACTGGCTGCTACTTGGAGTCTCGATCTGGGTCTCAGTTTCCCGCAGTCCCCAAAAGCAACTCAGCTTTTCGTGCTGGGTCCACGAGTCTGTTTGTTGATTTAAGGGCGCGGGATTTGCAGCCTCCGGTCTCAGCACGACTTTAAATCCTCCAGCTGTACTGTCTTGGTTAATAAGAATCGCTATCGATTTGTCTGGTCCTCTCCATGCTGTCTTTTTTTTTTTAGCTTTGAGTTTGAATTCTCTGGAGAGACTCTTTGCTCGATCCCCTAGCTCGCCGCCATTTTCAGACCCCAACTATCCAGGTTTCCTTCAAGTATTTTTATCATAGCACATCCTATTTACTTATTTCTAAGTAATTCTGAGTTATCTACACACCTATAATATTATTCCATTTGTTTATCACAATGTCAGGCTTCTTTAGCGGGAATGTTTGCAATTATTTGTGTTTGATCCAATTAATTGTTATCTGGTGGCTTTTCTCAATGAAAATTCAATTGAACATTTATAGCTCTTCAATTATATACAAAGAATTATGCAAATGGAAAAGATTAATTTCTGTTTTGGCCTTGTTTCAAGTAGCACATCATTAGTAAAGGAGAGATAAGATACAGTTATTATAAAAAAGAGACAGGTTCATTTATGATAAACTGTATGATTGAAACACAATTCTTTGGAGCCAAAAAGAAATTAATTGGCAAGTGGAATTTGGAAGAAAATAGTATTTGAGCGGATGTTGGAGAATCAGTAAAATTTAGGTTAAAAATACAGTTAGGATTCCTTTTAATGCAAATCAAAAGTCATGAAGCAAAAACAAAGAATGTTTTAGAGTACACATGAATAGGAGTGCAGTGTCTGCATCATATTTGGGAAGGAGATAAAGAGTTATGAACGGACACTTGTATTTGAGCTGGTTACAAACTATTCTGGTAGAGTTATTGAAATAAATAGTCTTACATAATAGTGTTTTTTTCTTCATACCCATGGCTTTCTGAATTTAAATCACAGACTCCACATTCTGTGTAAATAATGAACACTAGGGAGTTGTGCTCCTGAAGCTCCACACTCCATGTTTTTAGTATAATGTTTGTAAACTTTCAAAGCAATTACTCAGCTACTTTATTTCTCTTATTTGGCAAAAACAAATTAATTATAGGTTATGGATTTTACTTGCAGTGAAAGTATTTTATTATGCATAAATTTTACTTCTGTTTGACTTTTGTTTTTAAAATAATAAAACATTTATAATTTTTTTCTTTCGTGCTGTTCATCAGCTGTGTGTGATCCCATTTGCCTCAATGGTGGTTCCTGTTACAAGCCAAACACATGCCTCTGTCCAAATGGATTTTTTGGTGCACAGTGTCAGAACGGTAATTATTCTTTATTTAGAAGTAAAATAGGCAAGTGAGATGCTAAAGTTCAGTAGACTTTTGAGCGAATACAAGATGTTTCAAAGTGGAAGCCTCTGTTTCTTGCATAATTCTTTGCATAATTTGACATTGCTCGTATGATCACCAAATGACTAGGTTACACACATCTATTAGTTATCATGTAAATGGTGGTATTTATTTCATTCTGTTAGACTCACAACTTTGGGATTGGTCTGTGCAGTTTTGCAGAACCAAAATGAGAAAAGTTCTCTTATAATTGAGTAAAATGGAGATATATTTGTTATCTTAACAGCAAAAATGTTTGATTTGTAATGAATTGACTACTTTTATTCCACAACTCTCTAGTTTCATTGAACATGAAGAGTCATCTATCTATAGCATTGTACAAATTATGTGGGGACAAAACAAAGGCACTGTTTCCCCCCCTTTGAGACCCATTATTTTAACACCACCTTCTGTATTATAAATAACTGGCTTCATCAGATTGATGGCAATGTCTCTAATGTGACAGTATAGGTATGAATTAATGTCCATAAACTAAATTTATGAAGTATTTGTGTATCTTCATATTTTTGTTACACTAAATGCAGTTGACTTTTAGTATAGAACATGTCAGAACATCTTAAATTAATTCCTAAAAGCTGTACTTTCCTTGCCATAATACTTTGATTTGCAAATATATAGTTCTTTTATTTGGAGAGAGGCTAGGACTTTTAGGATGGGACTGAGCAGAGAGTAAACCATCATTCAATCAAATACAAGCTAAATGGACACAGGGAATGAATTTCTCTAGTTCAGATTCTAACAACGAACCAATTTGAAAAATGAAAAGAAATAAAAACTAAGCTAAAGCAAATCTTGACAATGGAGAGACTGCCTAAGTCCATCTGAAGAATGATTATAGTTTTGTTTTGAGTGGAGAAACTAAGAAGGAAAATGGAGTCAGTATCTATCCCTATTCTTTGATAGGTGAAGAACACAGTAAAGAATGTTCTCAAAAACATATGCTGACTGTGTAACTAGATAAAGAGGGAATTGCTAAACTGTTAAACTGAACTAAAAATTTCCTTTGAACACTTTTTTTTAAAGGGCTAAGAAACAGGTTGTTGTGAGAAAGGAGCAGACTTTGGAATTAGTCCCTACAACTTCCTAGCCAGCTTAAGACTTTGGAAATTTGCTGTAAATCTTAAAACCTAAGAATTCAGTCCTCTGGTTTTCAAGTTTGGTTTGGACAATGTTAAACCACTTCTCTTTGTGAGCTCTAATGGGAGGAAGGGAAGTTGTCACACATATAAAAAGCACAGGAATATAATTAGAATATATTTAAAAGGAAGTAGGAGAGACATATTCTGTATGTACTGAAGAATTTCAAAGGAAAAGGAAATTGAATTAAAACCACAATAAGGCTGAACTACTTTTTACTAGCAAAACTTAAAATGTATAGCTGAAGAAATGTGTATCTTTTAATTTCCTTCATCTCTTAAAATTCCTGATACCTTGGCTCACTTTGGTGTTTGTTGGGTTTGGCTTTAGAGTCCTATAGAATCTTGTATGAGGGCTCGTTTTCTCCTAAAAATCCAGTGAGTATGGGTGAATGACAAAATCCTAATTTTGTCCACTTTATATTTATTATTTTAATTATGTAGACTTGTGTAAATGTAATGTTTATCTCTATACTCACATTTTTGTGAATGATTGTTAGTTATACAAATTTATCCATCATAAACAATATTTTTATTTTAAATTTCTAACCATAGGCATTTGCTATGGTGCTTTTGCCATGCAAGCATATTTTTTCTGATAAATATAAATGATCTTAGATTATATAAGGAATTAAGGAGTATAAAATGTAAGAGCATTTTACTACTAATAAAAAGTAAAGCATATCTCTGTAATCATCTGAGTTGAAATGTTTTATTAGTCAGTGTCCAAAATTTTAGTGGAAGCCACAAGCATTTATTTCTGAAAAACAAAGACCCTACACATTGGTGACTGAACTCTAGACTGTTTCACCTTTGTCTCTTCCTCAGCATTTACATGAGTCATGACATTGTCAAGCAAACCGCAGAGCGCAAGAAGTCAAAACGAACTATACTGTATATACAGAACTTCTTGCATCTTGCTGACTCCCAGGCCTTTGGTCAAAACAAATCACATGATGAAAAGTAAGAATTTTACAAGAAAATAAACTCACCACCATTGGTATGGTGGCAACATGAAATCAAATGGCAAAGTGCATGAATGAAGAAATTTAATAAATTGGAAACAGTAATCAATGATTTATTTATAAACACAAATCATTGTCACATTTTCTTTCCATTCTCAGTGAAGTTTGCTGATTAAGTGCTTTATGAAAAGGTATCAATAAAGTGTTAAAGAAAGTAGGCTCAGGCATGAACCAAGAACAGTTCAACTTAAAATAGGAGTTACACATTGCTAAAGCATCTAGTTATATTGTTTTTATAATTAAAGTGATACATTATTTTTAGTTAAAAGTCCATTTGAAATTGGTAGAATTTTTTACAGTTTGGAAAATGAAGAAAGCAGCTACTAATGAGAGCTAGTCTATCAATTCCTATTACTAAATCCTAACCTTACTAATTTGAAATTCATTTTTAAAATACAAATAAAATTCATTGTAATATCACTTAGGGAGAATTTTTTAAGCTTGCAGACAAGTTTGACTGTGTAATATTTTTTAAAAATACTGCATTTAGGCCCCCAAGTGTAGCTCAGTGGTGTAGAGTGTCTAAGACACTCGTTTCTTCTCCAGCACCAAAAACAGAAACAAAACAAACAAGCAAACTGCAAATGTTTAATTTTCATATATGGAAGAAACATGAAGCAATGATAATTGTCTTATAAGAAGGAGAAATATTAACTTCTGATTTCCATGGAACAGAATTATATACAATGAAGATATTAATAATACAACTTCTGAATATCTAATAAATGTTCCAACTAGAGCCAAAAATTTATTGTTAAAAAAACTGTACCAAAAAGGCACAGGAATCTGTCAAATGAAATTTCCTCATGACCTCAATGTGTATTGAAGAGTTAATTTACAAATATTTTCTAATATTTTTTATGGTATCATGAACACATTGTTGAGATTTTTCTAATTTCCACAAGAGCAAATAAATTCTTATTCTAGTTAGATTTTGACTCATTTCCATGGCTTTTTTCCAAATCATTTCATACTTCACAGTACGATGAAACATAAGTTAAGGTTTTTAACATGTGCACTGTGATAACGAAGACTCCACTTACTATTAATACTAATTTCAAATTGTGTTAGCCCACTAGCAGATATGTTTATAAGCATTGTAATTCATGATTAAGGAAGAATAGTTTTAATGACTTGAAGTTGTGATCTTCTGTTTCAATATCACATTCCTCTGCCTTATGGCTCCATAGATACCATGCACATGATATAATATATACTATCTACTAACTGAGTATGTAATATTCACACACTGTGCTGCGTGTCTTTTAGCTATCTGTCACCCTCCCTGTAAGAATGGTGGCCACTGCATGAGGAACAACGTCTGCATCTGTCGTGAAGGATACACGGGGAGGAGATGCCAAAAAAGTAAGACACCACTAAACTTTTTTACCAACTGCAGGTCAAGCAATCTCAAGGCTATTGCTGTTTAAGAGCTCACATTTCATCCTTTTACCTTAAGGTATCTGTGATCCTATGTGCATGAATGGAGGAAAATGTGTGGGATCAAACGTTTGCTCCTGCCCTTCTGGTTGGAGCGGGAGATGGTGCAGCACACGTAAGAATACTCTTAATGTTAAAAGCTAAGAGAAATGAGGCAAGCACAGCAGTTTAAACATCATGTGTTCTCTCATACGGAAACCTAAAGTATAAATAGTTTAAAGAGCAAAGTAAAAGGTTGTAGGAAATAGGAGATGGGCTGTGTGGGATGGGAACGGGATCTGGGAATAGAAGGGAAGGGGAAATAAAAAGGGCCTGGAAATGATATGTATAGGTGCCAGCTTCCCAGGATGAGTGTGCTTAGGACGTATCACAAACCTACATAATAACTGGAAAAACACCCAAATCTATGTTCTTTGTGGGACGGTGAAGCAGAATTTAAGACAGGAATATTTTTATTGCTTTCATATTTTTTTTTGTTTTAATTCTGGCTTATTTATTCCTGCTAAACAAAATGTGTTTTTGAAATAGGAAAAAACAAAGTCCCTGAAATGATTTTTTTTCCACATTTGCAGAGGGAGAGGATACATTGTATTTCCTAGTTTTTCAACTACAATTGCCAAAGATAAAAAAAAAAAAAAATCCTGAATTCTGTTCCTTTAATCTGAAACAGAGGTCAGAAGATTTATTGGCCTCAGCTCAAGCACGCAGGCCTTTCCAAGGTGGGGCTCCACAGCCTGCAGTTCGTTTTGAACTATAGCAATTCTCCTCATCCCCTCCTCCCAGAAAACCATTGTTTAAAATAAGCAACAATTGTAGTTGTGTGGATCAAGGTGAAAACTGAGAAACAATGTGGCTAATTCCAGCAACTGAAAAAAACTTATGGCTTGATGTATTCAAGCAATGGCTTGTACAAAGAGTTTAAATTTACATTTTCTAAGAATGTTATAAATTGATTTTGATAAAATGTGAAGGGAAAAGATCCTTTAATCACTGATTTTTAACACTTTCGCTTTAAATAAATTTTTGTGGTCTGTGATGGAATTTGGCATGTAATTTTAAATTTTGACTTATTTATATTTCTTTGCGCAGCCGTCTGCATTCAGCAGTGTAGACACGGTGGTGAGTGTGTGGCTCCCGGGGTATGCCACTGTCCCCCGGCCTGGGAAGGAGCGCGCTGTCAAATCCGTGAGTTCACAGCTTCTTCTTTTCTCCTACATATTCCGACTCTGAACATGTTACACTCGTTAACCTACAACCTTAAGAGAAAACCAGAATGGGAATAATTCCAGCGTGCTGATCGTTTCTAAAAAGTGGTTTAAAAAATACAAATAAATCTTAACCAATTTTATATGCATTTATAAAGGAGAAAGTATGAAATAATGTGCGAATTCTTGTGAGATCATTTCAAATTATACTCACTGGTTTTCCAGTGAAATTGCTTCAGGAGGGCCAAATAAGGTTTTAATATGCTGTTTAAATATTATTGTATATTATAAAATTAACACATACTTGTGAAACTTAGAAAATATGGACAGATAGAAAAAAGTTAACCAAATTTTACCACCCAAAATTAATTTCTCTTACTTTTTTGGTATTTACGTATTTCCATCCATTTGTACATGTAAATTTTTTCATAAATAAATCCCAAAGTATACAGAAAAATAAAATTTTATGAAGTCCTGAAATTTATGAAAACCTGAAATACCATATCAAAATGTTAACAAAGATTAACAATAGGAAAAATTTTAAATCTTCTAAAAATATTTTCAGATAACCAGTGATTACATAAGTTTAAAGTTATTGGAAAAGTACACTGTAAATAGTGACTTAGTTGCAACAGAAGGTGTCTTTTTTTATCAAAAATACAAACTTTCCCTTTCTGCCTATAAACCACCCTGTTGCTTTCATGCATCAGAAATTTTGCGTATAGTTTTATGGCTCTGTGATATTATTTTATCGTAATTGCTATTACAGTTTATATATTGCTTATCCTAGAAAAATATATGAAAGTACTTTTAAGTGCCAATAATTACATCAGAAATTGGTAATTCTGATTAGCAGTTAGATGCGGTAAAATACTAGAGTAACAGAGTTATGGAAACTCAACATGGGCTGCTCCTGAGGCCAACGTGGATGATGAAAGAGGATGATGAGGAGAGAAATGTGAAAATATTCTCCAGTGGTTTGTGGATTGAGGTTTCTGAGCTGTATAATCTGTTTCTACACTCTGCAGCACCCTTAGTCATACAAATTAAACATTTTAAAATTCTCGTTTAATTCCAAGTGTTCCAAAACTGTCCTCTACATTGACTATGCTGCCATCTCCTGGGAAGCTCTAATAGCTATTCAAATGTATGATGTCTGTTTTGGTGCATAATTAATTAGCTGTGGAGCACTTTGCATTATACAGCTTGCCCAACCATATATAGCAGCCTTGATTAAAAAAAATGTAGCTTGTCAATGTTGTGTTTATATCAAAAAGAATGTTATGGAGCTGGAAAAGCTTCCAATGTTAGACAGTGAAGCACAATCACTCCCAAGAAACATAACTATTCTGTATATAATTTTATAGTATGTTCATTTCCATTCAGTGATATGTAAAACATTTACCATGTCCTAGAAAACCATAATTTTAGGCAATACAGTAATATCCACAGTGTATCATAATTCACTTAACCCATATGTTCAACAATTTTGTTTGTTATTTACAAAGTATTATTATAAGTAATACAAACATTTTCTTTGTATAGATAGATGATACAGAGATTGAGAGGTAGATAATAAGATAGGCATAGAAATTTTTTGTTACCTTGATAGAAATTTCTAGCACAGTGTGAATATGTTCAAGAAAATTTCTTGCAGAGTTGTTCCACATGAAACTATCACTAGTATTACTGTATGTAGTTGCCTCTTTTTTCATATGTAAATGAATAATAGTTGTCTCTTAAATTTTTGCTAAATTATTCAAAAGAAAATTGTCAATATTTTATTTTGCTCGTTTGAATTTCTTTTAAAAAGGAAAGGTATACTTTAAGTACTTTAAAATGTAGTCAATAAAATTTTGATTTATTAATATATTTATGGAACTATAAAATATTGTTTGAGTTTTGTTTTGGGGGTGTGTGTTCTAAAAGATGAGAAGGCATAGATTCTATCAACCATGAATAGTTCATTAACATGTATTTTTTTCACCTGCTTCTTTTCTACTGTAATGCAGCTACTAGAATATTTAAAGTTGCATGTGTAATTCACATTAGTTTTCTTTTTTATGGTCAGTAATTATTTTGTTTTATTTTGGTGCTGGGAATTGAAGTCACAACCTTGTACTTGCTGTGTCATTGAGCTATATCCCCAGCCTGATATTTTATTTTTAACTGACATATGCAAATTGTACATATTTATGGTGAATCATGTGATATTTTAATATATGTGTACATCCTACACTATAATGGCTTCCTTTAACTATATTAATAATCATCAATAAAATGAAGTGAATAGCTTCCAACCACTGAAACAGAATATATCAAAGTTTCAATGTCAAACTGTAATGCTTGGAAAATTTTATGCATTGCAGCAGTTTGTGATCAGCAGTGTCTTCATGGAGGAAGATGTGCATTTCCCAATGTATGTTTTTGCCGCCCTGGATATTCTGGCATCAAATGTGAAAAGAAAATACAGGTATTTTAAAATTTAAAGAGAAAATGAATATTGCATGGTGACATCTCAGTGTCTTTTCTACTTAGGATTTAACTCTGGTTAATGTTTTATTTCCAAAATAAGAAAATAGGAGGATTTAAGATATACTGTTAAAACTAAAAAATATTTCCACTTTCCAAAAGTGGAAATTTCCAAAAGTGGAAATATCAAAATTTTGTCGTCCACTTAGAGAATTTTAGTACATAACACACAGTACAACAGATCTCTCAGAAATGTCTTAAAGTTAATTGATCTATACATATTTTATTTTAAAAAAGGGTTTTATGCTACTTAACACATCAAAAAAATCCAAAGATTATTCATATCAAAGCTTCATGGGGTACTATAATTTGACAATTGATAAGAAATTTTCTTTTTAAAGTTAGACCAATCTGGCTTAGAAGTGAAATGGAGTTACATATGTTGTTCTCTGTCACTAGTATTCATCTTTGAAGGATATGGCCCTCATTTTGAAAACATTTTTGCTGGGCATGGTGATATACATCTGTAGTCCCAGCACTCAGGAGGCTGAGGCAGGAGGATTGTTGTGAATTTGAGATCAGCCTGGGCTACAAAGTGAGTTCAACGCCAGCCTAAACTGCATAGTGAGACCCTGTCTCAAAACAACCACCAGCACCACCACCACAACAACAAAAATAACAGTTTTACAACAGGGATATGGTTTGAAAATCAAAAATCAAAAGCTGGAGAGTACTTATGTGATAAAATTTTTCTTTGGATCTTAAAAACAAATTAAGCCAAGGATGGTATCAGCACTCAGGAGGCTGAGACAGAAGGATTACTGTGAGACTGAGACCAGCCTGAACTACATACTGAGAACCTGTCTCAAAAATAAAAAGAGAAACAAACAACAAGTTAAAAAAGAAACTTCTCTTTATCAAGAAATAAAGAGAAACGTGCATTTATGGGAATTCACAGAACTTTCTCTAATGCTGTCCTTTGCTCCGCCTACTCCAAACTTACTAAAGGAGCATTTGGGCGGGCTAATCAGTCCCTGGCCTCTCTTCTAGTACCTTGAGCTAATGGGTAAAAACACGAATGGAGGATACTGGTTAGATGGTTAGAATTTTGATAAAGTAGAGAATTACTGACTAGAGACAAAAGACACAGAACAAGAGGAAAATGCACAAGGAAAGAAAGGAATATCATACCCTGCTGCTAACTGCTGGGTACACTTGCCGTTGGCCTTGCTAATTGTTCTGTGCGATTTTAAGTGAGTTATTTAACTCCTCCAAACTTTACTTCCTTTCTGTGTAACATGGACTAATTGTAACAACATATATCTGTGAAGTTCATATAACAGTAAACACTATACAATATAGTAAATACTATACAAATGTTTGTTATTATTAATTATATGAAATAAACATATATGGAGAAATGGAGAGGGGATAGGGAAGAAAACTTTAGAGAAAAGTTACAATGCATTGTGAATATCTATATTCTTCCCAAACAATATGAGAAAAAGTTTCATTGGTTTTATTATGTGTGGATATTTCATGAATGTAATATTTTACTGAGATCGCATATTTTTAACTTTTTTTCTTTTTGAAACACAGTTTCACTGTGCAGTTCAGGCTGGCCTTGAACTCACTTTGTAGCCCAGGTTGGCCTTGAGCTCTTAGTGATTCTCCTGTCTCAGCAGTTTCCCAAGTGCTGGCATTGCATGCGTGCACCACCGAGCCCGGCTGCAGGATTACATATTTTGCAAGCTTCATTCAGTCACAACTGCTTTGGTATAATCTTGATTGGATGGAATTTTTAGGATGATAATACAGGATTTAGCGGCAAATAGAGCCAAAGGAGCTTATAAATGGTGTCATAGGGAAAGAGAAAGAAAATAATGAACAAGGATTAAAGGATTTACTACTATTCACTGAAACTTCATTTCTTTCTTCCTGCCTTAGATAAAATATCCCTGAGTAACAAATATCAAGTATGTGGATTACAGTTCTATGTCACAAGATCTAAAAATTTTTAATTCAGAAAATATTGAAGATAATTCTTGAAGTCTATTTGAGCATCACTTTTAAAAAATTTTGAAGATGGAAAAAACCAATAAAATATCAAATGATCTCAGTTGTTTGTCATCATTAGAAAACAGCAAAAGGACTCTATGTAATCTACATTTGACTTTACAATGTGATTTTATGTTTACATGTATCTGATATTCCAACATTCACAATAATTAATAAACTGAATATTTTTTCAGTCATGTGACTAAGCTGTGTTGTTTCATGAGGGATCAGTCAGCATAAGAGAAACCACTTGACGTCCCCCAAATATATAGTGTATAAAACATAATTAAAGACTTGTAGGACTGTTGAAAGAACTGGGGATGAGAATGCAGACATTCAGGTCCAAAAACATCTGTCAAATATTGGAGGGGCTGATATTGGAGATTCCAGTTTAAAGCACCAAACAGGTACTTTTCAGAAGCTTTCCTGGAGCTGGCTAAACAATACTTGAGAATCTTCATAGTGTAGCATCAGCTGTCTACTGTGAACATGTGCTGGAAAGTTCCGTTCATCTAAGTGCAAACCCCTGTGAAGAAAGTAACAGCTGCCTCGTCGTTTCCATCTTGCAACTCTCCAACAAGTTCTTCTTCCTGGCAAACTGTTAACACGGAGAAAGGTTTTCTGGTTAGTATAGTTAGTACAGCCTTAGGAAGATACAGAAAGGTACTGTGGGTGCACTAGTGAGGTAGCACACAACATGCTAGATGGTCTGTGCCTTACTGCTTTTGACTGTTCCAGAGATCAAAGCCATCACTTTATGGTGACAGAAACACCACAGCACATTAGTTGTGTCTATTTGATTCTCTTCTAGTCTTCCTATTGCTCTGATCCATACCATTTCTGGGCAAGGGGGAGGAAATGATGAATATTTTGATTTTAAAAGACTCATTTAGTCATCATGTTTATAAGTGAAAGGATCACAAAGTGTGTGTGCTACTTTTCCCTTCTGTATTAGTCACTTTGCCATTGGTGAAACAAAATACCAATACCTGCAATTTAAAGGAGAGGTTTATTTTGACACGTAGTCTTCAGAGGATTCATTCCATGATCAGTTGTCTCAAAGGCAGAAACAGAATAGTGGGAGGGCATTGCGGAGGAAAGCTGCTCAACCTGTGCCAGCCAGGAAGCAGAGAGAAGAGAGGAGCCAAGTAGAGAGAGACACCTCACAGAGAGAGGCATGCCACCAGTTACTCACCTCTATTACAGTCCATTTCTAACGGCACATTTAGCTATGAAACCATCAACGGGTCAGTCCACCAATGACTACACAGCCACTTATGAATACAGGAGATTTGGGGGACACATTCTTTGGGGGTATGGGCTGAAAGGAGTTAGTGGAACACAGTCCCTTGAATTCCCCTCTTTCCCTTCCTGGCCATGAGATAAATAGTTTGGCTTTGCCAAACTTTTATCAAGTTATGCTGCCTCCCACACGCCCCAAAATGTTAGGGTCAATCAGTCAGCCTCCAAAACTATGAACCAAAAAAACTTTTTCCTCTTAAGTTGATTAATACCTGGTGTTTGTTACAGTGGCAGAAAGTTTACAAGCAGTAACCTAATTTGTGTAGAAATTGAGGAAAATGACCACAAAACTCAATATTTCTACAAGAGAATGGGTTGTGGGTGATTAAAAAGAGCAAAATTATATTAGCTGTCTTGTTGAAAAGTGAGTGATGTCAACAGGAAATGCACGTGACTGAACTATCTGCTCAGAGACACAAGTAATTATGAGTTAAAATCATAAATTTTCTTTGTCTCGTTTCATATTTGACTTCAAATTATATAAATGAGCAAAACATTTTTTTCTTTTAAGCAGAAAGACAGCATTCCTCACCCAGGTCTAAACCATAAGCTAAATTAAGGTATCATGAGTGTAAAATTAGTGGTGAGTTTCATAAGGAACTTTTTAAAATTTTTTTTATTTTAAAGAGATTAAGACAAAAGAGGACACAACAAAGCAGATCAGAACAGAACAATGTAGGCAACACAATACTTCACCACAACACAACCCAATATTAACAGTAGTTACCATAATGTGTCTTTCTCTCAAATAGTTGAGCATATCTTCACATACAATAGTATCAAACATAACAAAATAGTATAAAACCATTCAAGAAAATGAAAGTATTTCAGGGAATGAAGAACCAAATAACTGAAAATGAACAGTGGCTACTATATTATCTCATTTCCCATAAAAAATTTGTTTATACTATCACATTAAAATTCAATAAGATACAACATGATAGAACCAATTGAAACAGAAGAACAAAAGCATGATAGGACTTCAAAGCAAGATGACATTAAATCAGAAATGACTGCCATAATGTCTTGTCTTCTTCAAAATAGCTGTTCATACCATCACACATGATAAAATCAAACAAAACAAAATAAAACTATTCCAACTAATGAATGAAAACATTATAAGGCTTCAAAGCAATGTAATAGGGAATCATGATTACCATAAAATCTTACGTACTCTTACTATTTCTTACACTAGGGAGACCATATGGTATTTATACATGTGAGTTTGATTTATTTTGCTTATGAGTATGGTCTCAAGTTGCATCCATTTATTTATAAATATCTCAATGTGATCATTCTTTATAGCTGAGTAGTACTCCATTGCATTAAAATATCAGATCTTTTTTATCCATTCCTCAGTTGATGAACACTTAGGTTGTTTTCAAGATCTGGCTATTACAAATTATGCTGCTATAAACATGGACCACATATATCACTGTGGTATGATGTTTTCAGTTCTTCTGGGAATATGCCTAGAAGTGGATAGCTGGGTCAAATGGGACTTCCAATTCCAGTTTTTTGAGAAATCTCCGCACTGACCTCCACAGTGCTTGCACCAGTCTACACGCCCACCAAAAGTACAACAGAGTTCCTTTTCCCCACAGTCTCTCCAGCACTTGTTGGTGATTTTCTTGATGCTGGCCATTTTTTCTGGAGTGAAATGTAATCTCAGTGTGGTTTTAATTTGCATTTCTCTAATGAGTAATGATGATGAATATTCTTTCATGTATTTATTTGCCATTTGTCTTTCTTCTTCTGAGAATTGTGTATTCATTGCAGATGCTCATTTTTGGATTGGGTCTTTGAATTTCAGGGATATGATTTTTTTTTAAATTCTTTATATGTTTTAGATGGAAGTCCTTTGTTGGAGGGACAGTTCACTAAAATTTTTTCCCAGTATGTGGGTGTTCTTTTCACTATGCTGGAGATTTCTTTTGACATGCAGAAACTTTTTAGTAAGAGGTGATCCCAGTTATTGATTCTAGGAAGTATTGCCCATGAGGTTTGATTCCTGTTCATGAATTCTCTACCTACCCCTATGTCTTCAAGCTTCTTACCTAATTTGTCTTCCAACAGATTTAGTGTTTCTGTTTTAATATTCAGATCTTTGATCCATTTAGATTTTAAATTAGTACACGGTGATAGGAGGTCTAGTTTTATTTTCAGCATATGGAGAGCCAGTTTACACAGCCCTATTCCTTAAAGAAACTGTCATTCTTCCCGTGAACTTGTTTGGCCCCTTTATCAGAGATAAGGTGGTTGAGTGTGTTGGTAGTTGTGGTTGTATCTTCTAATGTGTTCCACTGATCTTCAGATCTATTTTTATTCCAGTACCACGTTGATTTTATTACCATAGCTTTGTAGTATAACTTCAAGTCAGGGATTGTAATGCTTCCTGCCTTGCCTTTGCTGCTTAGAATTGCCTTTGTTTTCTAGGTCTCTTCTGGTTCCAGATGAATTTGAAGAGTGATTTCTCTAGATCTATGAGGTATATTGATTGTATTTTTATTGGGATTACATTGAATCTGTATAAAAGTTTTGGGAGAATGGCCATTTTCACAATATTTATTCTTCCTATCCATGAACAAAGGATATCTTTCCATTTTCTGAGATCCTCTTTGATTTCTCTTTCCAGGGTATTATAATTTTCTCTATATAGATCTTTTACTTCTTTCATGAGATTAATTCCTAAGTATTTCAATTTTTTGGATACTAGTGTGAAGGGTGTGGCTTCTTTTATGTCTCAGTGATTTTGTTGTTAGTGTGTAGGAATATTATTGATTTTTTAGCTTTGACTTTGTTTCCAGCTACATTGCTTAATTTATTTATTATATCTAGGAGTCCTTCAGTGGGGTTTTAGAAGTCATCTATGCAGAGTATTGTCATCTGCAAATAATGATAATTTAACTTCCTCTTTTCCTATCTTTAACCCTTTTATTTCTCTCTTTTCTAATTGCTCTAGCTAGTATTTCCAGTACTATGTTGAATAGGAGCAGTGATAAGGGACATCCTTGTCTTGTGCCTGATTTTAAGGTAAAGCCTTCAGTTTTTGGCCATTTAATATGATGCTGGATGTTGGTTTTTCATAGATGGGCTTTATCATATTGAGGTAAAAACCATTTATTCCAATTTTCTGTAAGTTCCTTATCATCAATAGGTGTTGGACCTTATCAAAAGCTTTTTCTGAATCTCTAGAAATGATCATTGATTCTTACTCTTGGCTTTATTGATATGGTGATTTATATTTATTGATATACATATGTTGAACCATCCCTGAATGCCTGGGATGAATCCTACTTGATTGTGGTATATAATCTTCTAATTATTTGCTGTATCCTATTTGCCAATATTTTATTGAGGATTTTTGCATGTATGTTCATTAGGGATATTGTCCTGTAGTTCTCTTTATTAGTTGGGTATTTCTCAGGTTTTGGTACTAGAGTAATATTTGCTTCCAGGAATGACTTAGAACAAATTTCTTCCTTTTGATTTTATTGAAGAGTTGGAGGAGTGTCCGCATTAAGTCTTTTTTGTATTTCTTGTAAAATTCTGCAGTGAATCCATCTGGGCCTTGGCTCTTCTTTGTAAGTAAGCATTTAATTACATTTTGAATTTCATTAATAGAAATTGGGCTATTCAGCAGTTTTACATCTTCTTGACCCAGGTTTGGTACTTCATATGTTTCTAGCAATCTGTCCATTTCTTCTGTGTGCTGAACCTATGAGAGTACAGAGTTTTGAAATAGGTGTTGATGATCTTCTGTGTTTCCACAGAATGTGTAGTGGTCTCATCTTTTTCATTTCTTGTTACACGAATTTCAGCATTTTCTTTCCTTTTTAAAATAAGGTTGGTTAAGTGCTTATCAATTTTATTTATTATTTCAAAGAACCAAC